TCTTCTTCCACACAGCCAAAGAGGAGCACGGCATCCTATACCCCGCGGGCACGCGAACGAGCCCTGGTTTCCGCTGTTCGAGGTGTGAAAGCTGTGATCGAGGAGGGTCAGTGGATCACAACACTTGGAATCCCCCCTACTCTCTCTCTCTCTCTCTCTCCCACTGGTTGTCGGGCGCCCGATTGCCTGCGCACACAGTCAATCCACCGCATCAGCGCGCTGCCGTTCCTTGCAGGCAAGCCAGGGGGGGGGGCAGGAACTACGGTCGGCATCATGCGCCGAGCAAGTGCTTTCGATTCATGACCCCAAGTGGTCGCCGATGTGGTGTCCATGTCCCTCGCCTGTCTCAACAAGATACCCATCAAGCACTCCCACCGACTCGCGGACTTGTTCCTGGGTACAAAGACCGAGAAACAGATGTACCAACACAAAGAGACCCCTTTGAAGAAATGTCAGAAAAGCAGCCCCCAAGCACAGCTGCTGAAGTCTTGGGCCAGGGAGCTCCCGACTGGGACGAGCATACAGGAACTGCAGCAGATGTGTGAAATGAATCCTCGGCAGAGCACCGACGCGGCTTCCGCTCTGCTCTTTCTAAAGGCTCTGGGAAGAGCCCAGAAGGCTTCGAACGAAACGTGCTTTCTCACAAAATGGGGACATGTGAGTGCTCTTTCCCAGAAAGGCCCCCCCAAACATCCAAAGATGTTTGGGGTTTCCAGGAATCTAAGCCTCATCGCCTGCGACCTTCGGGCCTCTCGGAGCGCAGCCTCGTGGACTCCAGATGAAGAGGTTCCACTTCTTCCACACGGTCCATCAGCATGGCCACATCCTGCAGAGAACCAGACGTTGGGAGGGATGTGCTGCTGGTTCTTGGGTCTTGTCGAGACACCCTCAGCCAGTCCCAAAGCTCAAGCCACCCATCCCACGCTGCCTTCAGCACCTTTCGCACACACAGGGGGCTGGAGAAGCACGACGCGATCCGTGCGACTTCGACCTCAGCCATAAGTCATGGGCCGGGGTTGGCTACGATGGAGATCGCAGTGCTCCAAACTGACCAGACAGGATCGGTAAGGTGAAGCATCAGGACACTCAAGAGAAGTCGAAAGATTCATGATCTCAGCTTGGGACAGTGTCTGTGGCCACCAATCGCAGCATCCACGGGAAAACCACATTATTTTCCGCCTCCTGCTGGGTCTTCCCAAGCCCAAGTCGAGTTACGCTTAGTCCTGTCTTTGAGCTGGGCTCAGGCTGTCTCAGAAGGAGCCTTCCAAAACAACCACACTTCAGCCTGACCCGAAGATTCGTTGAAACTTCTCTATGCCTCACTTGAGCCTAGGATCTCCTAATGGCCTAAAAGGAGTCTCCCCCCCACAAACCCCCTTCCTGAAAAATTCTTGAATTCCTCCCCTTCTTCCTCCCGGAAGGCCTGGGCCCGTGCTTCGCCCTGAGATCCGTTCCCGTCTCCGTCTCCATCTCCGCTCTCCGCCTGGCACAAAAGCACCCCTTAACGCATGGAGCTGAAGATGGGAGAAAGCCTGCGAGGACCGTAATGACTGGCTAAACTGCTGTGGTGGGCGCGAAGGAGATGTGAGGCCTAGAGCCGGCCTTGGCTATGGAGATGTGTTTTCGGGCGAAGAAGCGCCCCCCCCAAAAGGCAGAGAGTTTGGGCTTCGGGCGAGTTTCCACAGTTGCCACCGGATGCGGTTTAAAGCTCGCTTAGGTGAGTTGTGGATCATACTCTGCATCGAAAGCCCGTGTGGGACCTATCAAGCAGCAGTAGGTCTCAAATGCCCCCAAGCTAAGCCCATCATCCTCACTAACCGCACCTCTACCTTTGCCACAGGATCCCATTCCGCTAAGCTCTATCTCGTCGCCGTGAGCAATGCAGGTCAGGCGGACGCTCTCAGACGACGAGGCCCGGCTTTCCGAAGCCATCCAGCTGAAGCGGTGGGCCACGCAGTCTGACTTACGGGGCTGGGGGTGGCCTCTTGGGTGGGACTAGGCTTGAAAGCTTCCGCAAAAGCCCTTCGTGCATAGGGCTTCGAGCTCGGCGAGCTACCGTGTAAAATCGGCTGCATCAGCTCCAAAGCTCTTGGCCAACAGAATTATGAGGTGCTCCTCTGTGTTCTGTATGCGCCGGCATGTCATGATCTGACTGGACCGAATCCTTGAATGCAACTACGTGGAGCAAACCGGCGCTGGCATTTCGAGTTGAAGTACTTGCAGGTGCAACCCTGTCTGCATGAATGCCTGGTCGAAACCCCAGCAGGAAATCAGATCAAGCACAGCTTCAGCTGGATTTCAGGAACTCTGAGCGATGTCGCTCTGACGGCTGAGTGACACGCCGCCGAGTCGGAGGAACTCGCGGGTGTCGGAGGCGAAGAGTCCTTTACGTTAACTTCGCCCATCAGGCGAGGCAGTGGGAGACTTTGAATGTGTCCGGCCAGAACAAAATCAGCATCTTGACGACGAGATCTTTGCTGCATTCTGCTGCATTCTTGAACTACTCCTTGAGTGAAGCTGTGGCAGAGCAATGCATTAACCTACAGCTCGCCCATAGTCCTCCGGCCATCACTGGGGACCTGGGCCAAACAAGGCTCATGCACACGCTCGCGACAATCATTCGAGGGGCCCCTCGCAGATGTGAGCCTTGTCTTGAAGCCCGGCAGCCGGGCTTCAAATATCAAAAGAAATCCTCCGCAGCTCTTCAGCTGCAAAACAAGCAAACCTCCCAGCCTGTATCAAGCCAAAGAAACATAGCAGACCGCAAAAATAGAACCTTGAATAATGGGATCCTCAATGTTAATGTGGGAGCCCACGCTAAGGAACCTCTAGTTTTCTGAGGCACCCAAATATCGATCAACCGCTTAACATCTGTAGGAACCCCGGCTTCGCCGGTCGTGTGCCGTCCCCTCCGGTGTCGGCGAGGTAAGGATCCTGTTTCTACCATCCATGAGTTTTCTTTGCGCCGCACCGCGAGAAGAATGATCAACAGGAGTAGTACTGAGAGGAAGACGGTGCATCGTGTTCTGGCTGCACCGTGTCATGACCATGGAGGTTGAGGAATCCAAATCTACCATTCGCGAAACAAGCGCGCAGCCTGGAGCCTGGAAGACTGCTTCGAGATGCTTCGAGCTACTACTATTTCAAGTCCTAAGTCCCAAGCTCGAGGTCTTTCAAAGTGACCCTCGCACGAGCAGGAGTTCTGCGGCCTGCCCCAGAGTCCAGGAGAAGCCTTCAAGCAGGGGCTGTGACTCGTTCCCCCTTTGAGTGGCCGACTACTCAGCTTGTCGGTTTCTCTTCAGATGAAGGATGCCAGCGAAGCGCAATGGAAGCTCGCGACCCGCAGCCCTCTGATTGCAGGCGTGCCGGAGCTTCATCTGCGCAACTGCTTTTTTGCTGGAGCCCTCTGAATTTACGAACACAAACATAGTACATACATGCAGAGCGGTGGTGAAACATGCACCGGCCCTGCCTAGTACGCCAAGGCCGCCGCCCACACGGTAGACCATGTCCTGAGGGGTGGCAGGGTATCTCAGAAACAGACAGCTACATGTCTGTGGCATGATTTTGAGCTGCAGAGTGACTGCATGCCATGCCCTTGCACTTATGGTGGTAGTTTTGCTTGCCAGAATATGCAAATCTAGAAAGGCACACGCCCTACTTGTAGCTCGATGTCGTGCTGTTTGAGATTCCAACAAGGCCATCTATACCAAAATGGAGCCAAAGAGACATGTGCTGTCCGTTCCTTGGCAGACGCGCTTGATTTGAACATCACGCCTACAGCTCAGCGGACCTGGGACATGTCCACCGGCTTTGAGTCACAAACTTCGGCACCTCGTGCTTCATAATCTATATGTAATCTACAGGCGCTGTCTCTTATGATCTTTATGTGTGCTGTTCCAGCCCGCCTCAGCGCCGAGGGTGTCGATGCGGGGAACGACCACATGCCGCTTGTCCTGGTGGTTGGGCCGGAGGAAAATACATGCCTCTGCCAGGCCAGAACGCTCCTCCGCGATGCGAGCTAGTATGGGCTCGATCCAACCACGTGTGGCCTGGCCGCGGAATTGAAGGGGCTCCGAAAAGAATGCGTTTTTTCAGCACCATTACTACACTGAACTGCCTCTTCACTCCTCTCCTTCCAAAACAACACCAGGACTTGGCATGGATGTGGCACGGATTCTGGCCTTGCAGCGTCCTAGGTTTTTCAGCTAAAGGAGACTCGTCGGTTCGTCGCAGAAACCACCCATCGCGTTCATGCAGAAGCCACATCGAACCATCGTGATAAGCGACATGCGACCCCCGAATCTTCCGTGAGGGAGCCTCGATGTGGCTGTCCAGGAAGATGGTCACCGGCGCATCCGATCGCCAAACGCCCTCCATCCGCGCCTCGTGATTGACTGGTGCGGTCTTTGTCTTTTTAAGCTGGAGGTTTGAGTTCAGCAGATTTTGTGGCACTGTCTTCCAGGCATTACTTCTGTTGCAAGCACAGGAGTGGCTGCTGCATCGTGAGCATGTTGGGCGCTGCTGCAGGCAGAACCACCCATTCAACGCAGTCCAGCGGCCAGCATCAGGCCTCGCACAACGACGAAACGCGGGAATTTTGCTAGAGAACATAGCCTCAGCCTCTCGGTTCTGTAGGTCGAAGACAACGGCGACAGGAGGATGCAGTTCTAGCAGCGGGAGGGCATGAGGGCGACAAGAACTCAGACCCGTCTCTTTCCACAAAGGAGAAGAATAACCAAGAAAACCCCCAGAGCCACGGCTCTTCGGCCTCGCCGCTCTTTTAAACGGACGAGGCGGGTCTTCGGCAGGCCCTGGATGGGGGGGTCGCAATGGGATTTGGAAGGTCGAGGTGGGGGCATTGTTGGGGTTCTTCCGATCTTCCGCTTTGATCCTGAGATCACTATAACAGACTGTTGGCTGTTGGGCACGAGGACTGACGAGCTGCACAGCAGCGCAACGAGAATCGGCGGGGCTACGCCTGGAGTAACTAGAGGTCGGATACACTGCAATCAGCCTAAGTGGGTCGCTTATCGTTCTTCCACTGGCTCGGATCTCCCATTTTGGTGCCGAGGCCCGCCTTCACGTAGTCCGACAGCTCGTCCTGCAGACGCACCCTGGCAGGTGAAGAGACAAGGCACTTGGAACGGAGGGCGGTGACTGTAGCTGCGCCTGTGGTCAACCAGATTCATTCAAGCTGTGCTGTTGGTACTGCATGCAGTTCACACTAGAAGTGCTCTGCCTGACAAGCCTGCGCATGCTCTTCGAACGATGGTTGAATGCTGTAGCACATTCAGCCAAGGGTTGGATAAATTTGGATGGGAGGTGTGGCCTCGATGACTCTATGCAGTAGGACCATGAATTACGCGCATGTCGGGTGCAAAGGTAATTCAGCATGGGACTGTCAGGACCTGCAAGATTGCATGCTGTGAAGTACAGTGCCCCCGAAAGGCTGAGGAGGTGTGCTGCTGCAAGGGTGCGTGAGTTCCACAGAATTGCACGACGACGAAGTTAAAGCATTGGCGCGCAAATTCGGCCGTCCACGGAGTCGAAAGGAGCCCTGAGAGCGTGCTGGGATCGCACACATTGCTGTCGAGGAAGGAAAATCTGCTCTGCAGCCGCCCAGGATCACGAAAGTTGTGTCACAAACTGCTACTATCCCAAGCGAGCACATTCTGCTATAAACCCCAATTGAACGCCATGCAGCTCAGCAACAGCACTTAGCCTACCAGGATCAAGGTGCGTGTCTGCTCCGCATAGCGGGGAGGCACAGCAACCGGGAAAACCTCTGGCATACGCAGCGGCTATCACTCGGGCTCGTCTTCGGCTCCGCTGGGATCGTCAGCTCAGCAAGCCTGTGCATCGGCTCGATCGGGCGTCGTTTGCTCACATAATGTCTCAACGTGCAGTTCTGCTTCTTGTTGACTAAAATGAGCCAGCATGTCGAGCAGAGGAGCTTTGCCGTAGAATGCTGGCCGCGTGAACATGCCTGAATGATGCAAAGCTCTGTGTGAAGTGAGCAAACCCGTGTGGGTGTACTGCATGCAACCTCTAAACATCAATCATCGTTTGCAGTGCGACACATCAACTTCATCTAATGCATTCTGCATACCCTCCACTCCCCAATGGCCCAACACTTGCGGAACAGCACCAAGTTGAAGCACTTCTTCGACCCACGTTGAATCGGTCACCCGAAAGCGTGAAGACTCTGTGCAATACTAACCACCCGCCCCAGAATCAGAAGGCGGGGAACAGTAGCTCGCCTCCGACAGGCCGGGGGCTCAAGATGGAGGAGGCCTGGGCCGCAAAAGGGTTCTAACCAACAGGCCGTTTCCACACCAGATGCCAACTAACGCATTTTCTTGAATGGTGTTTCAAGCTTAGGGCTTCGTATCACTTATTGCAAGGAGGGTCTAGATTTCATATTCGGGTCATGTAGCAAGCTTAGGGCTTAAGCGGCTTAAGGTGTCTTTACCGGCGCCGTCTTCCACGCGCCCTGGGGTGCTCATCTGGAGGCGTTATTCGCTGTTAATCTCGTGCGGGCAGCCTCCTGTGAAGGATCGGTTAAATGCCGCCCACGGAATTAGTGAAGTCATCGCCACCCCTCACCCATGTGAACAGTGGGTACCTTTGGAGTGCCAGGCACTTCAATCACCCCGGTGCTCACGCTGTCGGTCTGCGGCTTATGCTTTTTGGCGGCACTTTTGAATTGAAGCATGGGCTCAAGCAGAACAACCGCCGTGTGGGGAGCCTGAACACACTGTGCTGGGAAGTGCAACCGACTTGCGGGCAGCCGAAGCTTGACTTTTCCGATGCTGGCATGAAGATCCGGGGACCCATGTCCGACTTTAAGTCAGGCAGAGGCGAAGGCCAAACTGCATGTTGCTGAAGACTCACCGCTGAAAACTGCGGACAACTGCGCTAAGCTTCCACATGCACAGAAGCATTGTCACCACTCGCTGCCGCGGTGAGTCTTCAAATGGTGGAGCGCCCTGCAGTTCCGAAGCTCCCTTAGCCCTAAGCTGCCGGCACTGCTCTTCCACTACGGGGAACCCGGAAGTACTGCAGGGCACCGACACGGAGAAAAATCCTCCGTAGCAAGCTGAACCTAAAACCACTCTGTGCAGGTTGCAGGCCAAGGTTTCCTTTGCCAAATGTTGCATAGAATCTAGAGTGCATTACGTCGAAGGGCCCTATTATACGGCTAGGAAGCAAGGCCTTTCATGCCAAGCATTCGGGGTGATGCGGGCCCTGTGGCTAAGGTTGGAATCCTTGGATTGTAGCCCTGCTTGCGAGTGCTGGGCTCCAGGCTGAGGTGTGAGAACAAAACACACTCCAGTCGCTGCCGCTCGAATCCTGGAAGTACAGGCACAACCAGTCCACTTGCCAAGCAAAAGTGTCGTCACGGCCGTTGGAGGCGACTGGAGAACTCTGCACCCAAGCATCTCTTCCCGTCTATTGTCTAGAGGTCAAAGAGCAGTACGCCATTCCTGGCAGGAAAAGAGCTTCGACTTTTTCCGGGTAGCTTCGACTCTCTTCTCTCCACTGGGTTTCGGAGCTCCCAAACAGAACGTTTAGCTGAGGGGGGGGGGGGTCTTTCCCAAGCAATAAAAACACGCATTCAGGCTAGCATCAGCTTAATCTTGGCAGCGATCGGATCCGGCCGCTCTCATTGCAGGGGCTGTCGGAGGTTCGTGCTTTCTCCAGCGCTGCTGCTTTCGAGGATGTTGGCTTACTTTTGTGGTGGCTGGACGGCTGGACTAGCCGAAGGCATCTTCGGTTTGAAGCATTCCCTTGCACTCCGACCAATGGAATGAGATCCACCGCAAAACAACTAGACCTCCGAACAGTCACTGTCACAAGTGAAAACCTGTTTAGTTGGTGGGCTAAAGCTCAGGTTTGGGATTCCATCAAGACTGACATCCGTACAGCTAAGACAGTCAGGGCCTCTCGGTGACAACCAACGCACCAAGCTGTTGTGTCGGTGCCTGGGCGGAGGCATCCTCAAAATTTCGGCAGACTAGCTGCGACCCGTCCTACGAATTGCGACAAGCCTACGTAGCCGTCAAATCCGGTTACCACGTGAATGCTCCTAGGGCTCAGCTATCTGAGGCATAGCTTCTTAGACCAGTTGATCCCAGCCCTGAGCGGTTCAAAAACCTACACATGGCCCAGACTCACGCTGGAACGCAAGAGGCAATTCAGGCTAGTAGTGCAAGAAGCGACTTGCATACCGTCGTAACCACTGCCGGACCACAGAAACCCCGGAGGCGTGAGGCCCATGTCCCGCAACGTTTTGACAAGGCCCGTGAGCTGCAAAGACTCTTTGGTGCTCGGTTGTCTGCTAGGTGCAGCCGGCTTCAAGCCGAAACCCCGTGCATATCCGGCTACCTTCAAACCGCCAAGGCCTTCTTCTGTTTTTTGGACTGCAAACCTCCAACCCTCGCAAGCTGATCACCAACATGTAACCCAAGAGGCCAGCGGTTCGGGCGACGAGTCGGAAAAGTAGCCGTAGCCTTTCAGAACAAGGCACGCATCTCGCTGTGGGTCTGAAGAGAGAGAGAGAGAGATATATATAATATGCCGCATGCCCCCACTCTAGGGATCCCGCACATTTTCTCACGCAGGGACGGTGTGGATCAACATCCAAATCGTGAAAGAGGCTTTTCGCTCCAGCGAAGAAGGCGGACTGAAGAGTGAATTCGCCACAGAGGGCCTCGAGCACCCTGGCCATTGTGTTCCTCCTTGTCCTTTTGTTTGCTGTCGCACTCCCCAAGTTTCCAGACACTTGGCGGGTGGTCTATGACGAGTCGCCCCTTGCCCTCTCTGGACTAGCAACACGACATCCCGACTCCGACTCACAGAAGTGCTCTTCCCCTTTGAACTTCCCCTGGAGACAGGCCCGGCCCGGAGGCCCTTTCGGAGGGAGCGGCCGCTCCTTCGGCCGGCGGAGATGTATTTCCCGAGGGCCTTCTTGGACGGGGCTTGCGGTGGGGACTCCCCTTCCTGTAATATCTATGGTCATTCGGTGGCCACCTCCCCCCTATCTGTTGAAAAACACAGGGCGTGGTGATTGGAGTACATCACCTGGGCGCCAACCCGTGAGTTGGGGCCTGGGACGCAAGCCCGAGTCTTCCGAGTCGGGGGAGATTTTTTTTGGTCTTCTCGACGGAGCGCAAACAGCAAACGGCAAGGGAAGGGCTTCCATGGCTGCTTCGTTGCTTTCCCAAGGAAGGAACACAAAGAAAGGCGGGGTCACCACCTCAAAGGGTCTTTGGTACCGGACCTACCCTTGCCGTAGCCCGGCCTTCCGAACAAAGCGGACTTGGACTTGCGCAGTGGAGAGAAAGAGAGAGAGAGAGAGAGGGACAGTTCCGTTGCTTAAGCTGCCGGCTGTATCCAGAAGGGCGGTGAGCATATAGCTCGCATGCCTCAGCTCAAGGCACAGTTCTGAAATTCTAACCAAATTCAATAGTTAACGGATTAGGAAATCGTAAGCAGGTTCTTAAAACGTTGCACATGGGGCTACAACCACTCAAGCTGGATAGCTACTAAAAGCCTCCTGGCTGAGTCTCTTGTTCCTGTAAGTAGCATGTCTGAGCCTCTGGCAAGGCTTTGCAGGCCGGTCTTTTGTTCTGACGCGTTGCCGGTCTCCAGGTGCAAACATCGTTTTGGCACTCAGTCTCGGAAACCAGAGTGGCTTCGAAGTTCCAGCTGTAGAGATGACAAGTCAGCGGATATCCATAACCCCGACCCTTCTGAAGCCCTCATGTTGAAGCTTCACCTAGCAAGCCGAGCTGCTGCATTCGGACTTTGTACATCCGGGTAAGATCGCAGTGGAGGAGGCCTCCGCGGAATCGACTTTCAGTATCTAAAGCTTCGATAGATTTGAATGGGGCTTGGGCTAGGTGCATTGAGGGTTCAAGCTCTCTCAGAACTCTCATGGCTCAGGACCTTAGAGTCCTTCATGTTGCCTGCAGTTGTGGCTCACTTCCGATGCCTGGGTGCTTGTCAATCTTCTTCACAGTCGACTTGGCGCATGAAGCTCAATTCCAGAGTTCTCTGCATCCAGAAGCGGTTCCCAAGCTTTCCGAATTTGTCTGTGGCTCATTCAATTCCGTGCACGCGAGCCACGCAAGGACGAGCGGAGAGAGTTGCTCGGACAATACGTCAAGCAACATGAATCAAGGAAGATTTCGGGAGTATGAGCAACATGGCGCAAATCGACTGTGCACGTGCCGAAGGCTCGCATCTCTAGCTGCTGTTTAGTTTTTGCTCCACCTGCCGGGTGAGTTGGACATCTGAAAGGTTTTCAGGGAAGTGCCCTCGTGAAGTGCCAACTACCAGCAAGCCGTTCTCTGAGCGGTTGCAAAACAGTCAGGCATCAATGGAGACTGCGTGACTAATTTCCCCACTTGGGCATTCTGGTGCCCTAGATCTCCCAGATCTCGAGACGCTTCGAAGGCCTCTCATCTCCAACGATCCATATGCCCGGCGCATCCTGAGAGGATGTGCGTGTGAAAAAAACACACACCTATGGGCTTTATCACTACTACCTTTCCGACCTCTAGTTCGGTCCAGTTTGGTCACCCTGTGCTAAATCTCTGTGTCGAATCTCCAAAAGCCTATCGTCCCAACATACGACTATGCCCCACGTTCAGATTCGACATTTGGGCAAAAGCTCTTAATATGTAGTAAATGGACTTAAGTAGGGTTGCAAACCTACTCGCTGAGTCTCTTGATCCTTCCAACACGGGCCATGTGCGTGCCGGAGATTGAGGTTGAGTTCACCGCTTCAGTGCTGATACCCTCATGTGCCCTCGATGCCGCATGTGGAGCCAGGGGAGCTCTTAGTGCCAGTCTCGCGCAAGAACATTGATTGACATCCTTTGCCGAGGCTGCCTGGATGGCGGTCGCAGGGAAGGACTCTTCACCGATTGGGTCGCGAGTGCCCTCTGCTTGCCACCTTCGAGCAGGGGTATAGACTTTTCTGGTGCTTGCTGTCTAAAATCGTGAGCAGCTCTGACACATCATGGTGGCTGTGCGGCTATGCTGTGAAGCTGCCGCTTGGCACAAGAATTCGGCAGCTTCAGCTGAAATGCTTCATCACGCAACCACTCCGGAGTCATTCCTTGCCGGCCCGTTTCCCGGAATTCCACAGACCCCGCCCTGCAATTCAACTTGCCTAGCTGCATTCAATGGTAAACGGCAAAGTCTGACGTGAGTCCATGTAGTCGATGTAACTCTAAATAAGTTCGCAGAACGATTTTTGGTCTTCGGCAGCTTCAGCATTTTGCGGACAGCGCGAGTGCCATCCGAGGGCTGCTGCTCGAGATCCGGAGCCCAGAGCCATACCGAAGTGGTGTGCAGAATGGGTCATCTAGTTTAAAGTTTAATGACGTGCGGGCTTCAGCTGTTGAGGTCTTGATGTCTCGTATCACCGCATCACAACTCAGACCCTGTTGGCGGCTCCCGCACCAGATTTGCGAGCTGCCCAGGGCATTGCCAGCTGCATCTGCAGGCGCAACCAATTGGCGCATCTGCCTCGGCTGGGAGAACATGGCAATAGCCAACAGCCATACCTGACGCATCAATTACAGGGATCCTGCCAAACAAGGGCCCACGCTCAATGCGACAGATCTGTACTGGGCTCCTTCTTTTCTCTGAAAACCAACCTTCAAATAACTTGCCTTTGCATACGGTTTCAGGCAGCCGGAGTTCAACCAAGGAAGCGTTTCAAGGAACGTTGAGGCACTCTGGCTGCGACTCCTGGCCCTGTCTGTGTACAATGTGTTTACGCAATCGGACATGTGCAAGAAGTGAGGACATTTGACCTGCGTCATTCCACCCATTAGTCCGGGCCTCCTCCGTTGGTGGCTCGGGTTCCTCTAGTATGCTATGGCCAACCAACCGTGAGAGTGGTATGATGGAAAAAATCTGCAAGGTCGAGCTCATTGGTAGCAGCCGACAAACCTGCAGGGCTTGGAGCTCCCCCAGGCTTGTGGGCTTAGGACTGCGCTCAGGCTCCGGGGAGCTATGCTCGATGCAGCCTGGGTTGCAATGCCTCATTGGACGGAGCAGCAGTCCTGGATGCAGGAGCATACTTCCAGCCGATTAGCAATCTAGCCGAATCTAGCCCCAAAGCCCTCCATCACAATCTTGAAGGTGCTACGAGGAAGGTGAATGCCATCTGTTTGAACCTTGCGTGAAGAACCATGCCTTTAAAGTCAAAGGCTGCCTGCGGTGTTCTGAAGTACTCGATGAACTCGACTGGGCAGGCCGCCCCGAATCTGGGACCTTGGCAAGACTTTTTCCTTGTGGCAATTCCCTCTGGTCTTGGGCTTTCGTGTTCAAAACGGAATCCACGATCTTAGGCCATCTTCACCTTCATGCACTGAAGGACCAACGGCAGAAGCATCCTTACCAACACGGGACATTCTATGTCAGCACGGGCGTTGCTCCCACTATGACACAGTCGTGGATCCTAGCACATTCTTGTGAATCGAACGGTGCTTGATGCTAGCCAGGCATTGACGGCAGAATGCATGGCAACTGTCCTTTCCGACAATCTTTGGAGCGATGTGCATAGCTTGGTTCGCAACTGAAGTGGGAGTGGGCAAACGCAGTCTGTGTCGCAGAGCTACTGCATTGGTCGCTAGCTCCTTTGAACTTGTCACTGTACGCACTGGCGTGCAGTGGTGATCGAAGCCAAAGCGAAACATCAAGATGCAGATAAGGCTGTCGAGTGTTCTGCCTCCCGAATTTCACATGACAGGCTGTGGATATCGGAATATCCTTGCACCTCAAAGTAACTTGGACTATCTTGTCCAACATATCTGTCGCCCACACCATGTTTCGGCTGCGCCAGCTGTCATGTGAGCCGCCCAAAGCATCTAATCGTTTGCAAGTTAGCCCCTCAGCATGGAGATGTTACTAGTCGGCATCACGGTCTGAGTTTAGGGTTTTCAGGTGGCCCTCCGCGAGGCTGAGTGCGGCACTTGACGTATCTGCCTTGCTGCACGCACCTTGGCACGTCCACGACAAGTCGATCTCTACACGAAGCCAAAAGGGCTTCCAAGCCAAGACTGGCTAAAATCTGCGTTTCCTGGGTTGTGCGCTTCTGTTGCGATTTGTCAGTCGGGGCTGCCTAGTCGGTTGTCATGTCATGTCGCTGTGCCATGGCCCACCTCGTCGAGGTCTGGTGACGGTTGTTAGAGGTTTGATGTACGTATGCTCGGAGCCTCCTTTCAGTAGCGCACCCGTTTGCGCACACCCATAGAGATGCAAACACATGTGCAAACGAGCAAAGACATTCCCATGCGGCAAGATGTTGACCCGCTCTCGTTGCGTGGTGCGCCCGGAAATGGGGTAGTATGCCCACTTGCTCGACTGCACTGTGGGGCAAGTGACGCAGGTGGCATATGTCTGGAGTCTCACGCCTCGCGTCGTTGTGTTGTCCCTACGTTGTGTAGAGGATGCAGGATTGGGAGTCTGTCAAGCCTGCGTGAAAGTCAAGATACGGCCGTCCGCATCTGCACAACCATTTCTGGCGGAACCAGTTGCTTGATGGCCTTGGCCGTCTCACTCTGCAGGCTAGGAACGGCTCAACATGAAGACTCCTCCAGAGCTTCGGCACCAAAACACACAGGTGCTGCTGAGAAGCATGGCGCAGGGACATGGGCCGTCCCCGAAGAAGAACCTTGACTGCGCAGACAACCCTGGACAGTCGGTCTCTTGCTGGGCTGTTTACCCAACTGCGAAAGCAGCAGAAGGAGCAAAGCAAGAGAGCAGAAGCCGAGGCCTTCGAAGGAGGGAGCCCAGGCCAAGGGCCACGATTCGACGTGTCTTCAAGGAGACGAAATGATGAAGCCCCAAGAGCATGGCGCTGATGAATCCTTGCATGACGGGTTACCAGGAGCGGCTGTGCACTCGAGATCCACTGTGACGACTCGTGTTGCGTCGCGAGCAGGGTCGACAGAGCAGTTTGCCACACGCATGCACGCACGCCGCTCACGCCCCCCCCCCCCACACACACACACGCACACCCACGCATACTTCAATCCTCAAATCGTTGCATAGTATGGCGCATGTGTCTGAAGAGCAAAGATGCAAGCAAGCCCTCTCATGTGCCGAAGGTCTGAAAAGTTCTCCCATCAGACAGCCTCATGATGTGCAACGCTACATCGGCATTGCAAAGACTGCAGCTTTGACAAGTGCGCTGCATTTCTGCAAAAAAGACATCCCAGAAACTGAGGGTGCATTGGTGCTCTCCAAACCACGTCGTCCAGCCTTCCAGCCGTGCGGTATGAATGGATTCGCGCAGAACCCTTGCTAGCCGAGCTTCTTGAAGCCAGGTCTGTGAGGATCTATCACGGATTCAGCCTATTATGGGTACAGAGCATGAGCAGGGTAAGATCCCACCAAGGTAGGCTCAGATTATATACGTCCAGAGATGGATGGTAGCCGTGATGGCATGAGAAAGAGCCGACAATGTACGATGTCACACTTCTTGAAAAGGGGCTTTGTGGCTGGGCCCATTGCTGTAACAAATGCAGGTGCAGCAGGTGGGTGCCCACTCACAGATCGTTTTAACCGTCTTCGTTCGGATGCTTCGACTCTCACTCTGGCACAACGCAAGCAAGGCTCCACATAGTAGGGGGCGTGGTTCAAAGGCGGAATGTGCTAGGGATGTTCAGGGAACGTTAGGCAATAGAGGGAGACTAGGTGATTGCGAGCAGTTTAGGCACCCAACTAATCTGTCTTGGCTGAAGCTGTCTGAAAGTACTCTGCGCTGCACCTTGCATGAAACCGCGGGCAAAGGACGACTTCATAAACGAAGACAGAAACACAGCACCGGTGCAACACCCAGCGACCTCGGAGACGCTTTGCCCGCCTTGGCGTAAAACGCAGCAAGGTTCTCAGCCAAGCCCTGGTAGGAAGCCTGGTGCAAGTTCAGGATCACAGTTGCCCGGGTCAGCTGTGTGATGGTTTCTGCAGGCCTGCTGAACCTTTCCGATGTGGCGGTGGTCCGCTCGAGCATGCCTGCCGACCTCGAACCGATGTCATGTTGCTACTTTTTTTCTGGGTCCCTTAATGTCCCTATGGAGTTGGAATCTCGGCCTTGACTTGGATACTGACACTATCCCAGAAACTCCAACATCTTTGACAAGGGTATATGGATTAAATTGTAGCAGGGATCCTGAATACAGGGTAACCTCTAACTCTAACCTTCACCAAGGCTTCGTAGGCAAGACACCAACGTCAAGCAGCTCATGCACAGGTCGTGACTCAGGAAGTTCCTCGGCACACGTCGACATGTCTCTCCGAAAGGCAAGTAACACAACTTTTACAGTGCTTTCCTACGCTGCTGTGTTCGGTACTGACGCAAGTAGACGTGCACGTGCAATACCATAAAATCTGTATTTTTGTATGTTAGGTAAGTAGCCAGGGTAGGTAGGTAGGTAGGTAGATCCGCCGACCATTCGGGGGGCCCCCCAAACCACTAACCTCTATCCACACCCTCTTCGCCCGCCACGGCCACCGTCTCGCTTTGTTTGGCGGTCTAGTAGTGTAAAGTCATTGAATTCAAACCCTCAAGCGCCTTTCGCACGCTTAGCGCCCGCCAAACCTCTCAGGCCTCCCAGGCTTCTGACCTCTCTCCACACTTTCTGCGCCCGCCTTGTCCACCGTTCTGTTTGGGCCTGTTTTTGAATTCGAGCCCATTTTAGGGGTCTATTTGGTGGTATTTAGTGGTAGTATTGGAGTAATTTAATTGGAGCCCAATGTATGCCTCCACTTCGTTCCCCGCGGCACTCAGCGGCCCCATCGGCACACCTTAGGGCTGATGCATGCTCAACCCGTCCCCAGCCCCAATTCGCCCCGCGGCACTCAACGGCACACTTTGGGGCGTATGCCCAATGCATCCCCAACCCCTTCTCGGCCCCACTTCGCCCCCTGTGGCACTCAGCAGCACTCATCGAAAGACTTTATGGTGTTTATTTCGTGGTATTTAGTGGTTTAGTGGTAGTGTTGGAGTTGGAGTATTCTAATTGGAGCCCAGTGCATGCCCAACCCCTCCCCAGCCACACTTCGCCACCCGCGACACTCATCGCACAAATTTAGCGGCATTTAGTGGTATAATGGTAGTATTAGAATGACTTAATTGGAGCCAAATGCATGCCCAACCCCTCCCGCCCCCTGCGGCATTCAGCGGCACACGTCAGGCGGTTATGTACTGATATTCAGTGGTACTGTGGCAATATTAGACCCCCATCGGCGCACTTTAGGGGGTTTATTTAGTGGTATAGTGGTAGTATTCGAGTAATTTAATTGGAGCCCAATGCATGCCCAACCCCTCCCCAGCCCCACTTCGCCCGCGGAACGCAGCGGCACTCATCGACACACTTTAGGGCGCTGATTTAGTGGTCTTTAGTGGTATAGTGGGAGTATCGGGGTAATTTAGTTGGAGCCCCATGCATGCTCAACCCCTCCCCAGCCCCACTTCGCCCCTTGCGGCACTCAGCGGCACGCATCGGCACACTTTAGGGCTTATGGTTAGTGAGTGGTCTCTGCGTCCAGCCCCACTTCGCCCCACGGGCACTCAGCGCCACTTTAAGGCTTATGGTTTGTGGGCTTGGAGTAATTTAGCTGGAGACCAATGCATGCCCAGCGCCATTTCGCCCTCCGCGGCACTCATCGGCACACTTTAGGGCTTGTGTTTAGTGGTGTTCGAATAAGCTCACTGGAGCCGGCAGCACACTTCACGGCTTCTGGTTAGTGGTACTCGAGTAATCTAATGGAGCCCAAAGGGCTTTTCTGGCTTTTTCGAGTTGTTAGGGATAAAGCTTCAGGGCTCGGGGTTTCGACTCTCACACTCGCACCAGGCAGGCAAGGCTCCACGTTTAGGGCTTACGACTTGGGGTATAAAGGTTTTTAACAGCAGTAGCAGTAGCAGTAGCAGTAGCAGTAGGAGTAGGAGTAGGAGTAGTAGTAGTAGAAGTCGTAGTAGTAGTAGTGGTGGTAGTAGTAGTAGTAGTAGGCGCCCACCCCCTACCAACCACCTCTGCTGCCAACCCTCTTAAGAGCACGTTCCGTTTAGTCGGTATTTACGGTACGTTCGTCCTGTCATACCA